TACCAATGATGGGGCATTATTCCTCCCACTGACACCAACGATGGGGCACCTTTCCTCCCCCCCACTGACACCAATGATGGGGCACTATTCCTCCCCTCCCCCACTGACACCAACCATTGGGCACTATCCCCCCCCCCCACTGACACCAATGATGGGGCACTATTCCACCCCCCACTGACACCAATGATGGGGCACTATTCCACCCCCCACTGACACCAATGATGGGATACTATTCCCTCCCCCCCACTGACACCAACGATGGGGCACTATTCCCCCCCCCCACTGACACCAACGATGGGGCACTATTCCTCCCACTGACACCAAAGATGGGGCACTATTCCACTGACACCAATTATGGGGTGCTATTCCCCCCAATGATACTAATGATGGGGCACTATTCCTGCCACTGATACCAATGATGGGGCACTATTCCTCCCACTGACACCAATGATGGGACACTATTCCTTCCACTGACACCAATGATGGGGCACTATTCCACTGACACCAATGATGGGGTGCTATTCCCTCCAATGATACTAATGATGGGGCACTATCCTACCACTGATACCAATGATGGGGCACTATTCCTCCCACTGACACCAATGATGGGACACTATTCCTCCCACTGATACCAATGATGGGGCACTATTCCTCCCACTGATACCAATGATGGGACACTATTCCTTCCACTGACACCAATGATGGGGCACTATTCCTGCCACTGATACTAATGATGGGGTGCTATTCCTCCCACTGACACCAATGATGGGGCACTATTCCTCCCACTGACACCAATGATGGGGCACTATTCCTGCCACTGATACTAATGATGGGGCACTATTCCTGCCACTGATACCAATGATGGGGCACTATTCCTCCCACTGACACCAATGATGGGGCACTATTCCTCCCACTGACACCAATGATGGGGCACTATTCCTCCCACTAACACCAATGATGGGGCACTATTCCTCCCACTGATACCAATGATGGGGCACTATTCCTCCCACTAATACCAATGATGGGGCACCATTCCTCCCACTGACACCAATGATGGGGCACTATTCCTCCCACTGACACCAATGATGGGGCATGATTCTTCCCACTGGTGTGCACTGGAAGAGGGGTAGTCTTATACGGCGAGTATAGCCCAAACACTACATTTTAAACAGGAAAAGTAGGGGGTCGTCTTATACGCCCAGTCATCTTATACGCCGGAAAATACGGTAGCTGTCACTTTCCCCGGAGTTATCGGAAACTTTGTTTCTTTTAAGAAACGTAAAGGAAACATTGTTTCTCTTAACTCAGGGAAATAAACTAAATGAAAACTGTCTTTCTTTTAGCTTGGGGGAAAGTGACAGCTGCATTTCTGAGCTATAGTGAAGAAAAAAAAAACGGTAATTACATTTAAAAACCGGCACCATAAAAAAAATATTTTTTTAATTGCCGGCAATTCTTTTACATTCAGCTGTCAGTGGGGAACCCCGCTGACAGCTGAAACATTAACACATGGTTGTCACTACTAAAATACCGCATGACTTGATAAAATAACTCATGCGGTATTTTAGTAACGTTTACTTTTTTTCTGACTTTCGGAACGGATTAATTGTTTTTTAATGCATTCCTATGGGAAACATTGTTTCGGTTTACAAATTTTTTGCTATACGAAAAGTCCTGCAGAACTAATTAAATTCGTGAAACAAAGGTATTACTGTAGTCAATGTTTCAAGTTCCGCTTTAATCATATAGTACAGGTCACAGGATGTATGGTCATAGACCATGAGTTATATGCCGCTGCCATTAGGTGATTGGACACTGGCAAAAGTTTTGCTGAGAACGCTCCCCACTGCATGTTTATATAGCCCCACCCACTCTGTCTCTACTACATTGGCAGAAGGCAATATTTACCTTTTCATTTTGGCAGGGTGTTCACATGCAACATTGTTGCTTGCTTGGTGGCATGATTGCCAACACCTTTCGGTTGATGCACTTCTGCTCACCATTTCCACAGAGAATGCAAGAAGCTTGTCTGCTTGTGCTACTGCTTCTCCAAAGACACATGATACAGGACATCGGTCAGTGCCTAGGCTATAGCAACTCCCTTCTCAGACATGCGTATTCCATCTAGTTATGTATGCATTTCAGAAGTACCCCACAGGGTATCCCCTAGGGCACTCAGTAATGGCATAGACAAGGCACAGAGGAGCTGAGAAAAAAGGGTCTAATAGCTGCATCAGAGCAAGGTCCCTTCTCCGATCCACAACAAACGGCCTATCTGACTAAGGCGGATTTTACTTCAATTACATCTGATTTCTTTGGGAAACTCTATCCTTCTAGAGTTTTCATTCTCAAGGGCTCAAAAGTGTTCTTCTGCCGCTCTGCCACCTAAATATATTCAGGTATATGACCCTGATCCGCCTAAGCTCCTTGAGGAAGATATTGAGGAGGGTGAGGTGGATGCAGAAGAGGATCCTGCATAGGATGTTCACCCTCTGTATTTTATGAGACATAAGCTACTTCTTCACAACATAAGCTCTTTACAGTGACCTTGCTTTGTGATGTGGTGCATACTAGCCTTTGTCTAACAGCACCAGAGTCTCCTCTCCCTAAACAAACTCCTATGGGTACTAAACTGTTGTCGGAATCTAAAAAGACCTTTCCTCAGAACATGCAAACTGTCTGTGCTTTGTACATGGATTTGCCAAATCTGAACAAGGTATTAATTCCTCCAGAACTCTTTTTTGAGTTATACCTATGGTAAAGGAATTTGTGAAAACATGGTCTTCTCCAGTAGTGGGTCCTGCCATCTCATTTCTCAGTAAGCATCTTACTCTGTCTGTTGAAGATATTTACTGCTTTAAGGAGGTTTGAAAGCTTATTGAAGTAATCCTTTGCTCTCACGGGTCCTGTTGTACAACCAGTCGTTGCAACCATGTCCATTTTTCACACTGGACTGGACATATGAATAGAGAACGCGAACCTACCTTCAGGGACCCTCTTCTATTGGAACATTTGCAGCTCAGATATATACACATATACACACACACACACACACACACACACACACACACACACACACACACAGTGTATATCCACATACATACATTCTTGTACAGGCCATATGTTAGGGGCTGACATATTGACCAGGCCAAATTGAAAGAGGTTGGCCCCCAAGTACCAAGGTAATCTTACATATAATTAACATAGCAGAGAGTCATTAGCTATTCTTTTATTGTGTCAAATACATCTGGCTTGGTCAGACCCTGGCCTGGTCAATATGTCAGCCCTTAACATGTCGCTGGTACAAGAATGTATATATGTGAATATACACTGTATATACTATATGTAAATACAGTGGGGAAAATAATTATTTGATACCCTGCAGATTTTTTAAGTTTGCCTACTTACAAAGAAATGAAAGGTCTATAATTTTTTTTTTATCATAGGTGTATTTTAAAATGATAGAGACAGAATATCAACTAAAAACTGCATGATACAAATGTTGTAAATTGAGTTGCAGTTCAGTGAATAAAATAAGTATTTGATCCCCAAGCGAAACATAACTTAGTACTTGGTGGAGAAATCCTTGTTGGCAAGCACAGAGGTAAGATGTTTCTTGTAGTTGGTTACCAGGTTTGCACACATCTCAGGAGGGATTTTGGTCCACTTTTCTTTATAATTCTTATCTAAATCCTTAAGGTTTCTTGGCTGCTGTTTGGCAACTCTAAATTTCAATTCCCTCCATACATTTTCTATAGGATTAACGTATGGAGAGTGGTTAGGCCACTCCATGACCTTAATGTGCTTCTTCAGTGAGCCACTCCTTTGTTGCCTTGGCAGTATGTTTTGGGTCATTGTTATGCTAAAAGACCCATCCATGTCCAATGTTCAGTGTTCTCAGGTTCTCAGCCAAGATTTTACAATATGTGGCCCCATCCATTGGCCCCCCAGTGCAGCAAAGTTGGCCTGTACCTTTAGCAGAGAAACAGCCCCAAAGCTGTCAGCATGTTTCTTCCTCCAAACATGAATCGAGTTAATGCCAAAGAGCTAAATTTTTGTCTCATCTGACCACAGCACTTTCTCCCAATCCTTCTCTGAATCATTTAGGTGTTGATTGGCAAACTTCAGACAGGCCTGTACATATGCCTTCTTGAGGAGATGGACCTTGAGGGTGCAGCAGGATTTCAATCCATGACGGCGTATTGTGTTACCAGTGGTTTGTTTGGTGACTGTGGTCCCAACAGGACTAGCGTATGTACCACATGAGCACATAGCCAGTCTGTGGGAGCCAGAATTATTGTTGGTTGGTAGGGGATCAAATACTTATTTTACTCACTGAACTGCAACTCAATTTCTAACATTTATACTGTGTGTTTTCTATGGATTTGTGGTTGATATTCTGTCTCTATCATATAAAATACACCTATGATAATCATTACAGACCCTTCATTTCTTTGGAAGTGAGCAAACTTACAAAATTTGCAGGGGATCAAATAATTATTTTTGCCACTTACAATATACTACAATCAAGAGTGTTGGAAATCAAAGGATTGAAGATTTTCAACTAAAGCAGTAGTCATCTGCAAGAGGGACACTTCACATTGATAGTAAGCAATGTCCCTTGTGCTGAGTTTTTTAGAAAGATATTTGACTAAACTTAGGCTGCTTTTTCACTTATGCACTACGGTTTCCCTGCAGCGCGGGTGCAGCACAGTGTACCCATGGTTTTCGTGTGGGTTACCTGTGCTTTGCCATAAACATCCATTCGATTGGGCAGTTTAGGTGCATGTTCTGAAAGTCCTGCATGCAGAAAAACCATAGGTTTGGTTTCAAGTTTGTTCTGCAGTTTTCCACCTTAGTACTTTAAGTTCAGACATGATCTATGTTTTTTTTTCCTGAGAAAAAAAAATACAGTTTAACCTCTCTTTTCCCTAGATTTCAAACATAATTGGACTGTAAAACTTGTAGGTGCTGCAGATGGAATATTTTTTTTTCCCCAGGAATGTGAGTTCTGCTGGAGAAGAGGCACGCAGAAGAATGAGAGAGTGCGATGGACTGCTGATGCCTTGCTGTATGTCATCCAGGCTGCGCTAGGAAGCAGTGAAATAGATAGCAAGGTATGGTTTATTTAAATGCATGACTTTGTAAATATTTGTTGACAAAGAAACAACATTGCCTGATTACAGGAATAATGTTTGGACATTTGTAAACATGTAGTTTTGTACAAGCTTTGTATTTTACTTACGACTATTGGTTACCACTAGTGAAACAATTATTTATAATGGTATGTAAAGACAACACAGGTACAGGGCTGTCTGGTCAGCTCACAGTCATAAATTTACAGTTCAGTAAAGCAGCAGTCTCAATGAAGAAGTTCAAGCAAGTAAAAGTGCAGAGAGAAGGTGACCAGCATAGCAGCATTGTTTTAGAGCATTTTTGTGGAGACACACTTTTAAAAACTAACACAAAGAAACGAATATAGAAAAAGTGCGTATAGCTTAGGGCAGTGATCTCCGAACTGCTGCCCTTTCCTTGCCTATATCTGGCCCTTGGGGCACTTTTCCTTCCACCGATACAAGAAACTATTCCTCCCAATGACTTCAACAATGGGGCATCATTCCTGCTACTGACATAAAAAATGGGGCACTATTACCCAAAATTATACCAATAGTGGGGCACTATTTTTCTTACTGACACAAACAATGGGGCACTATTCCTCCCAATGGCACCAACAATAAGGGATAATTCCTACTACTGGCATCAACAATGGGGCACTATTTCTCCAATTGATGCCAACGATGGGGCACTATTCTTCAGACTGACACCAATGGACGGGCATTATTTTTTCCACTGATACCAACAATGAGGCACTATTCCTCCCACTGATACCAACAATCGAACGTTATTCCTCCCTCTAATAACAAAGATGCATTCTTTACTCCCACTGATGCCAGGATAATTTCTACTTCCAGTGGCCACAGTTCGGCCCCCCAAAGTGTTTTTTTTTTTTTAATTCCTTTTTGTTTTGGGTTTTGAAATATGTGCAGTATATTAACAACTGAATTAAATTATTTTGGGGTCTAACTTAAAATACATTTTTTGGAAGGTAAGATGGCACCAATGACAACTCACTTGACAATGGCTGGGCATGCTCTCTGTTTTGCAGCCATAACAGCAACAATAACTGACTGATTTTTAATGCTCATAAAGGTAGAGCACTGAAAGCATTTTCAGGGTGGAATTCATTTACAAGAAAACACTGCAAATGTGTTTATCATGAGGAAAAACCTTTGAGTCTTTACAATGACAAGAATGTATTGTTACTATAAGGTCTGCTAAAGTGGAATAGGTCTTAATTGGTAGTGGCAAGGCCATTTTTAAGCCTTGATAGGTTTTCTTTTTTAATTGTCTGCTAAATTATGTGAACAAACAAGGGATTATTTGTTACATGAGTTTTAGGGTCACATCATATACTGTCATTTTATAAGATCAGCATCATAATAGTAATATAAACAAAAGGTATTTTAAAATCCAGAATAAGCTTACTTAGGGGAGAGTATTGCAGTGACTTCATTATGCCGGTTCGCATGGAAGGTGATGACTTATTTTTTGATGCTGTGACAGTATTCCTTCTTTGTGAGTATTTTAGCCTGTTTTATAATAAATTAAGTTTAAAACTGCTAAACTATGTGGATTCTTCCTCTTCCTTCCTGCATATGAGACCATCCTGAGTTTGTAAACTCACTTGTGAGCAATTCAAGAGCCTTATATCAATGTGTGAGCATTTCTAAGCCATATGCTAATCACTTCTGATGTTTATGAGAGTTGCTCCTAGTGTGTGTGGTCTGTCATGAGTAGCACAAGCGGAAAGCCATTCATCTATCCACGGGCAGCATAAAGCTATAATACACCTCCTAATGTCTAATGTTCCTGTAAGCTTATTGGTGCAGTGGTGGTTGGGAACACTGGACTGGTGGAGGTGGTGCAAAGGATACACTTCATAGTGAACTTTTTACTTTATAGTTTTTTTATTTCACATCAGAACGTGTTGCATTTACACACTTCATTGTTTATTGCATTTTGTAACAGCACAAGAGTTTATGTTTAGAGTGGAAATTGGGTATTCAGATATCAGTGAGTGCTGCTGTTACCTTCATATATTTATTTTTTGTTTGGTTTACAGTATGTGCAGTTTGTTATTTTAAGTTACTAAAGTCATTACCTCCTAAATTCACTCATATCAGATGGGTTTTATGCTGGGAAAAAACATCACTCTTAATACCACCCTTAATACCGGCAAGCTGCCCTTGAACACATGAGCACTACAGTTGTAGTCAGCTTAGATGCAGCAAAAGAGTTGAACTGTTTGAATCCTTATGGCTTACCTTGGATTTGGCCTTAACTTTTAACATGGCTTGTATCCTGTATATTAATCCCTTGGATTTTGTTGGTGTTGATGGCTGAACCTCAGATTATTTTCCTTTGTTCAGAGGAACGGAGACAGGGATTCCCTTTTTTCTCTTTTATATGTTGGTAGTTGAGCCATTGGCAAATGGCAGCATTAGAGATTATTGATCAGTATGGACCATATTACAATTTATCTATTAATTGGTTTAAATGTCAAATGTTTTTCCTTTTGGTCATGAATGTATTTCCATTTTTAGGGATCTGGTGGATTATTTACAATTAACTCACTGTTAGCCACGATCAAGGTTAAGATGCAAATATGGACCATATTACCATGGGGGTCTTGGGAAGGGAAATTATGATAAAAGTTTTTGTTAGCTAAAGTCCTCTGTGTGCTATGGCACTCTCTGCTATATATACCCCTTAGCCATTTTAACATTATGAAGGCTTTACAAATATTACCCTAATACCCTTAGTGTGGGGTATTGTCTTGGTCCATTCTCAAGAGGTCTCTAGATCTAGGTGGGTTGGATTTGCCAGGTATGAATTTATATTATGTAGTTTCACAGCTTTCACATATACCTTATTGGCTATCCACTAGATCACCCAGGTTTGTGTTTAGAATAGTAGTAGATTTGCTATCTTGACCTAAATCAATACACTTACAGGGAGGAGTTCATATCCAACAAATGTATTATGGGAGAAGGCTAAAAAAACAGGCCCCACTGATGCCTTGGGCATAAATTATAGTTCTCCATAAAGGTAATCCCCTGCTGATATGTGAGTGACAAGCCTGCGGGGGAGCAAAAAAAGTAACTGTGAGGGGACCCAGTGGAAGAAGATAATACGGGAAGGGGAGTGAGAGCCCCATGTTCCACAGAGCAATTCCTTACGTGCAGCTTCCTGTAGATCAACTCTGCACCCTGTTTGTGGTCCAGTTGATTTGCCAGATGTAAGTTGGTCCTTTACTTTGGCAAAACATTTTGTAAGCAGGTTGAAATGCTGCTTAGTGAGACAGAGCTGCACCAGCAAGGAGGGAAAAAATTAACCCAAGTTCCCAAACTTTTTGCTGAGCACTGACTCAATGAAAAAGGGAGGGGGGGGGGGGCTTTGCTGGGACTTGCAGTCTTGCCTAAAGACACCAGCTCTGGAGATCTGCCACTTTGGATTCTGCCTAGTATGGACTCTCATCCTGTCCACGTACACTGGGGCACCCACAGGCCTGAGGTAGGGATTAAGAATGTTAGGGAAAGACTGTGCACTTTATTTTGAAACTGTTATGAGTTTTCAGTAAAGATTTTGAAACTTTGTCCTTGCCTAGTCTGAAGTTACTAAAGGAGTGTATGAAAGGAACTGACACATTCTGCACTTGGTCTACAATAGGAAGTGTGATTTGCTTAGTTACAAATAGAAATTCAACTAAATTTCCTTTATTCGGAGATTAAGATTTTGAATCACAATAGACATTTTGACAAATCCAAAATAAATTTTAATGAAACTATTTATTTGAATTCGAAAATGAATTTGAAATGGAAACATATTGGATTAAATACAGTAAGATATAAAAGTGAAATAAAATGATGATACCTATTTCGACTGCTTTATAGAACAGAAAATAAAATGTAATAAAATAAAACACAATAGAATAGAACAAAACCAAACAGAATAGAATAAAAAAAAATATTATAAAGAAATAGTATAGAATAAAAAGACTAGAATAGAAGAGAAAATAATAGAAAAGGATAGAAAAAAAAAGAATGGCAGAAGAGAATGAATATAGCCACTTCCGAAATCCAAATTTCAAAACTCGAATTTCAAATCAATTTGAAAGTAACGAATATACAAAACGAATCCGAATATACAAAGAAAATTCTGAAAATGAATCAATCTAACATAACGAATATGACAAAATGAAATTATTAACTTAACGGACGAATCCGAAACAAAACACATTTTTCTGTTGTGCACATCTCTAGTCTACAACTTGGGAGGCGATAACCGCTCAGAGGTCCCCTGCCTGTGCAGTAGGTCCAGAAGAGGAAGAGTTAACAGAGCACGTATGGAGTCAGTGCTATGTGCTCAACAGGGCTCCATTCCATTACTGGTTGTAAGGTAGCTTACATACGTGGACAGGAGGAGAGGGCATAGCCTCAGCATGTCCTTCCTTTGTTAGTAAAGGTGCACATTGACACAGGGACAAGAGAGGTAACTGGAGGACAGTTTATTGTTCAAGTGTACACGGTGCACAGCCATCTCTATAGTTCGAATTCCGCTTTAAGGTGGAGTTTTCCCTGAAAAGCCTCTGTCTTGTCCCGGGGCATTGATGAGCATGGGGCAGTAAAGGTACTCCAAGTAAGTCAAGTGACCCTGTTCAAGGTGCCTAGCGTAGCCCAGAAGAACCCATCCAGGGGTAGGATCCCCGTGTGACTACACTTGGCACCCAACGTGTAGGGGAACATGGAGGGAGTGTCATCCACCGACCCTACATGTTACCAATCTCTTAACACATTTGTGTAAATGGCTACATGGGTGATATTTTTTACAATGAATATATAATAACATTTAGTATTTTTTTATTTTTCTGTTTCATTCTACTAAATCTCAGTGTTGCATACAAAGTCACATACATTTTAGATATAAGTAGAGTTTATATGTTGTGGGATGACAACAACTGAGATGTATAAATAATTTGTCTCCTTTACCGAAGTAT